GTATTTCAAGTCCCTTTAATCAGATGCAGATTCGCATTCATTCTACATAGAGATTTATCATATGCTCGATTGTGTGCTCTGAATAAATGATGCACTTTTTCAACCAAATCCTTGTGCTACATCATCTTGAGACTTGTAAAATGTTTGGAAAGGTTTCACGATATTTCTCCAAGGTCTTCATCGTATTTCTGCAATATTCTTGGCAAGTCTATGGTCTCCATTGGTAGAATAACACATTCACCGAGATTGAAAAGAGCAATTAAAAAATACTGACGTCTCTACTGAATTCAAACACTTAAAATTAGTACTGGTAGTAATGTAGAGATAATTCATTTAGTTCATTAATTCAAAGGCTGCTGTAATCTGCCACATGTGAGCAGCTCCTAAATCTAGAACAATTTCAAAACCCAACATCAAAACATCGTATCATATAAGGATGACCAGAACGTAAGTCCTACAGCTTCACAAACACTATAAAAAATACACCTCAAATATATAAATTTATATCTTGTCTTCAATGAATGGTAATACTTATTTTCTCACCATTCATTGTCAGTTATAAATGCATAAGGAAATTAATTAGCATATTCATCTCTGGCATCATATTTCTGATCTTATTTTGATCTACTAATACACACAAAGCAGTTTTGTACCATTTTACATAAAATTATCATACATTATTGCAAAGCTACAAGAGAAAACAGACAGCTCTCTTCAGTGACAACTGAAAACTGCATTTCTTCTTGCTCTTTCTATAACAATGCAGGTAAAATTCACTATGCCCACTTCCTGCAACAGCACACAAACATGACTGTGCTTACTCCTGCACATGCACAGGCACACATACACATACACATACAACAGGCACACATCAGAGCAGATATGATGCACACATAACTGAGCAGGCTAAATGTGTGCTATGTCCATGTTTGCAATGTTCGTAAGTGACAAATCTTCCAACTCATTCCATACGGGGCATACAGGTAAAATAGGTAATTAATTTCAACCGGCTACCAAGCTCTACTTAAAAGATATTAGTTCCCATGCCAGTCCTTTGTATGTGTATGTGTATGTGTAAGCGTATGTGCATGTGCATGTATGTGTTTGTGGTGAGAGTGGATGTGGTGTGCATGGGTGTGGGTACCCCAGGTTTGGGTATGTGTGAATTTCTGGTTTGGCTGTTACATTAATAAGACATTCCTAATCAAAACTGCTATTTAAAACAATACAAAATTCATAGTATGTCAGACTATTTAGAAAACAATCCTGTACCTTTAATTTATGAATAAAGAACAAATATAGGAAGTACCGAGTACTCCGGATATACTTATGTCACTTAACCACAGTAACTTAATTGTGCTGAAACTGTAAAACCTAACAATCAAATGTTTATCAGATCTTGAAATGGAAAATGTCCCCTCAATTTTTGCACCAGTCTTATAATCAAAAAAATTACAAACTTCAAGACAACTGCAGGACAACTAGAGTAGAATAAAAAAAATATCTGTTTACTGTTCCGTTCAAAAAACAAAATGGCAACGCTTTTCACTGAAAAGAGCACTGTACTTCCTTGATTCCAAGCATGTGTAGTCAAAGGAAAATCCGGCTTATGGAATGATGAAATCCTCTTCACTCTCCGTCTGTTTCTTCCGGCAACCCATTAAACTTTCCTTCTCAAATAAATGAAAGCTCTTCTAAATGGCTTGGAAAAAGAAAAAAGGAAGAAAGAAAGAAAGAAAGAAAAAGAAAAAATCCACATGCTTTGAAACCTGCTATTAACCTTTCCCTCACTGGAGGTACTGACGACCTTCCAAAACTCATTCCACATTTAACATAACTGCTCTCTGATATTCTTCTTTGATTGATCCTTTATTAGATTTCCATTTCTTTGTTTTTAAAAAGGTATGGACTTGAAACAAATAAAACTTTTTTCAAATATCCATTTTTTCAGTAAAATATAAACAAAAAAATTGATAGGCTCCTTGATTAAACATACACTTCATTCTAAAAAATAAATGCTAAATATCAACGTAACACCACCATCAAAAAGTAATAATGATAATTTCCTGCAAAAAACTCCTTGTTTTCTTTCAATCACATTTTCTAAGAAATAAGATTGCAGGACACACAAAACTTTAACACCAAAACATGATTTTGTCCAAGTCTTGAAAGTCCATGTATCTAACATACCTTAAAGATTGTCACAAAAAAATGCCACTTTAAAAATTACAACTTGCACATTTTAGCAGATTGCCTAGTTTGTGATAATCTTAGCAGACACTAAAATATTTTAACACTAACACTGGCCTCCTTAAAAGTCCAACCTGATGCCTGCAAATTTGCCACAGTTCACATACATTCACGAAAAGGCAACTAAGAATGGAAAATAAAGAAACTGTAATCAAAATAAATAAAAAATATAAAACAAGGACTATGATCAAGACAAGTTTCTAATCATCAGAGAACGAAAAAGATTCTTTCACACTCGCATAAATGACTAACATTTCATAAATCCTAAAGGATGTCCTGCGCTTCGATCGCTGCCAGATTTTCTGCTGTACAATCCCCGTGTGTAAGGCGGTACATGGCCATCTCGGATATTCCATGATAATGGACGAATGCTGCAGCAATCACCAGAATGTGGAAGATTTGGTGACTCTGGAACTGTAAAAAGAATTGAAGGAATTGTTGAATGGTATAAATGTAAAAAAATACATATACACATACAAATATAAATAAATATACGTATGTATAGGTGCAGCTAAATGTTGCACATACACGCACACGTATATCTATCATATGTATATATATATCATATGTATAAAGAGATTAATCAGATCATAAAATATATCATATCCATCTACTTCTATACCTAGTTTTAACATGTAAAATGCAGTCTAGCCTTAGTTACAATGGACCAAATGGCGAGGGAGCTTTCACCAAATAAACAAGAGGTTGATCACAAATACATCTATTAGCCCTTTGCTGCTGCTAATAAGTAATGTCTATTGTAGTTTTGCCAGGTAAATCATCTTGGGAAAATTGTTTTTATCTTTAATGCCATGAATATCAATGTTATTTTTATTATAGACTTTTCAATTATGATAATGTCATTCAGACAAGAGAATATTTCTGAAAATCAAGGGTAAACTGGAGAGGTGGGTAGTGCTATTAATTGACTTCTTTGCGACTAAGTACTTGTGGAGCCATCTATGCAACTTGCAGACCCATCAGTGTAAAGATTAATTAATTAGCTAAACTCACAGTGGACATAGCATATCTGTACATGTCACCCCCGCAACATGGGGTTAATATCAATACTGTTATCATTACTGACCTTATGATTATTACTAACAATACTATAGCAACATAAAAAAAAAGTAAATACTTAAATAAAAACAACCCAAAATTCAAAGAAACAGGTGAACCGGTGAGATGCTTAGGCCTAGTAATTGAGTCCTTAGTGACTAGTCTGTGTAAGCACAATACAGAAAGATAAATCACAAATGACATGGTATGTAAATACATGATATCCCTGATACCAATGGGTTTAAATCCTTTCCTCGTCAATTGCATTGCTAAGTAGCTGTGACTCCTTCCCTAAATCTTAGGAACAAATTAACAAAATCTGGAGCACTGATAGTATAGTACTTTTTATTCCTCGTATAGCTTAGTCAAATTATATATTCTTGCAACATCAATGGATACTCACCCATAGATCACATTTGCCTGGGAAGAATCTTTCGGGAACGCGTACAGCATAAAGCAGTGCACCCAAGACATACAATGCTCCCATAAGAATAAGCCAGCCTAAGGAAGCACGTGTGATGGCATAGTCAAATCCTTCAATCAGAGTGTAGTGCACAGCTGGGATAATCCCCGACAAACCGAATGTCAAGAACACAGCTGGAAATGAAGAGACCAATATTATTGTCTGATAGAGATACAAAGAGACCAATATTATTGTCTGACAGAGATAAAAAGAGACTGATATTGTCTGACACAGAGAAAAAGAGACTGATATTGTCTGACAGAGAGAAAAACTCTCAATACTATAAATGAAAGTAATCATTCTGGCAACGCACAATTCGTGAGAACAAACCTGCTCGCAATGGTCTGAATGTTGGTGTGCTAAACTTCTCCCATAGTGATACAACAATCGTGGTGATGCCAAGTAGAACCACCGCAGTAAGGTATATAAGCTTTGGTTGGAAGTCACAGTAAAACCCATAGTACAACCATGGTACAAAGGATCCCATAATCAGCAAGGCAATCCCACAATAGTCCAATCTGCAATTAAACAGAAGCATGTTAATGTTTAATAAAATATTGTCTATCTGTATCCATACAACTATTACAACATACACATGAACATGTTTGTCAATACAAGCATCTTTATCTGTATATATGCAAGGGCTCAGTGACTTAAATCCACTCCATGGTTCTTACGGGTATAAGCTGATGAAATTTAAGACCTTTTCAAGACTTTTTAAGACTCATACCAACTGCTTTTTGAGACCTGGAGCCACTTGTCGCTGAATACACATTTCCCCATAAGGTGTAGGAATACTTGTTGTGTCAGTGACCAAGATAAAAAATTCACTGCATGACTTTTACACAGCCTCTAGGATAGATTGCACACCAGAATTATTATCTTCTTTGCAAACGCCCCAAAAGTAAACAGTTGCTTTGATCAGCAAAGATCTAGGTCTAATATTGTTTACAAATGATTTCTGATCAAGCCTGGAACAGATGTATGTACATTTAGGCAAACAGAGATGTGCCTTTGGCAAGTTGATGACCTGCAAACAGAAAAAGCTCTATTTTTTAAGACTTTAAGAATGCGCCCGAACCCTGCCCTCACACGTACTAGAGTTCCTAGCATGGCTTAAAAGTGACATTAATACAATTTGTTCTTAATGTTCGCTCAGGAAAATATGAAACACAAATATCTTTATCTGCTGAAAACCTAATTAAATATAAAAGAGGTGAAGCAGAGTCTGGAGCTCTCACTGATGGAATACTGAATTCTTTCATTTACTTCTCCCAATATCCACTATATGTCAAACAGACTTCAGGGATCACATTTGTAATATTGCTGGTTTTTCTTAATATAGTCTACACAAAAGGCAAAGTAAATTTCAGTGATTTCAAAGATGTAATAGTTTTTTTTTTATTATTAAATATTCATGGTAATAGTTCTTTTTTATAGATGTATATATATATATAAATCATGTTTCTACTTTACTTCTGAAAACTTTTGCAACTTTGCCATTCTACTATAGAACAAACTTCATATATCCTAAATATACTTCAATGAGAGGTGTGAATACTGGCTTGGAGCCATGGAAATAAGTTAACTAGAAAGAATACATTCCACTGGCTTGGCTGCGCCACAAACAGACCTCTCACCCACGCTTTTGCCTCCCTCTCAGTTGCATACATTCCAAAACACTGACACATACATATACAAATACAGCCACAAATATAGTGCTCCACATACAGCCTTGCAAAAATATACAAACATACACACATACTTATATATATATATATATATATATATATATATATATATATATATATATATATATATATATATATATATATATACACACACACACACACACACACACACACACACACACACACACACACACACACACACACACACACACACACACACACACACACACACACACACACACACACACCTGCCTACACCCACTACCACACACCACACACACACACACACACACACACACACACACACACACACACACACACACACACCACACACACACCACACACACACCACACACACACCACACCACACACACACACACACACACACACACACACACACACACACACACACACACACCTCTAAATTTCACAGAATATACCCTCTTTCATTCGACATTAGTTCGTCTCAGGCAAAACGTTCCCCACCGAAAACAGCCCCTCAAAACACACTCACTTGCTAAAGAGTTTTCCTACAAACTCCGAGTGACACGAGACTGTATGGAAGGTGAAGGAGAGACCCAAGCAGAAGATGGCACCGATGAAAAACGCTGTGAATACGAGCTTCTCCTTGATGTCAACCTGTACCCAGTGCTGACCAAGTGACGATCCCGTCAAGAAATACACCATTACTCCGATGAATGCCATGCATCCTGGAAGAGAAATCCTTCTATTAGTGGCAAATCCTGACAATCTATTTTTTTTTTTTTTTTTTTTTTTTACTTGGACACAGCCAAACTACAGGAGAAAAATGTGGCCAATTATTATTATTATTTTTAAAAATCTTTTTACACATAACATAAAAAACAACAATAAGAGGACCTGAACCTAAAGCATAAAAAAGGAAACATTCTATATACAGTAAAGAGCAAAGTCTGGTACCACATTTCATATCCACAAAAAAATAAATGAATAATAATAATAATAATCTGACAAAAAACAGATTATGTAATATTCTTCGTTATCTATGTGGTCTGCGATCTGCGACATCAGCTGATTTGGCAAAACCAATCCACCACAGAGAAAAAAAATCAAGATTAGACTTCTCTTAACAATGAACTTTATCAAAATATTTTCAGAAGGGAGACCCACCAATTAGGCAGACCGGACAAACAATATGACTGAAATATGTCAGTCGCTTACGTAAAACTGCTTCACATTAAATTATTACCCCAATTAAATCTATTAGCATAAGCCATTATGGTAGAAATGTTGGCCACATCACTTTAACAATCTGTACTGATAAAAAAAAATCATAATACATCACATATATGCATGCAATACAAGAAAAAAAGTGTATGTGTGTGTGCGTGTGTGTGTGTGGGGGGGGGGTATGAAAGAAGTTGTCTGATAATGAGAATGAAAGTAAGTGTGAGAGCAAAAGTAAGTGTGAGAGTAACTGTGAGAGTAAGTATGAGAGTGAGAGTGAGGGTGTGAGTGTAAAGGTGTGTGAGAGCGAAACTGATAAAGAGTCAATGTGAACATGAGAACAAGTCAGTGTGAAAGTGAATGAGAGTGAGAGAGTAAGGGTGAACATGAGGGAGTGAATATGAGTTTGAGTACGAGTAAGAGAATGATAGTGAGTGTGAGTGGGCACGAGAGTTTGAGTACAACTTCGAGTGAAAGTGAGAGTGAAAGTGTGCAAGCGAGAGTGGAGGGTCTTGGTGTGTCTGAGTGTACTGAAATTTATTTGGTGCATACGCATCACACATAATAGGAAACGACAATAAAAATGTTCACAAAAAAGCCATCCCATATTCAAACACTATACATCAGCTAAGTCCTCCATCCCACCACGATGATGTAAAAACAGTAATGGAAAAGTTATATCATTACCGAAGATAATAACAGAGCAAAACCGCATTAGAGACAATACACTAGAGACAATGACAATCTTCACACAACACCTGTCTTACTGATATCCCATTTTTACACCGCAAAGGAAAGAAAAAAATATAAAAATTGTAGTTATCACAAATA